CTTCCGTCGCTCCTCCTTTATATCTACTTGTACATTATACCTGAATAAATTCTGAATATAGCTTCCTTTTTCTTTTCTTGTTGAAGTGCTAAAAACGCATTGACTTTTATATGCGTGCAAATTTCGCTTTGCTTTTAGTCTCATACATTTTTGCTTTCTGTTCTTCTTTTTTTTTATACCCTGAACACATTTTCAATGGGAAATCAGGGTATAATGGTTTTGTTGAAATGTATGTAAAAGGCAGAAGGAGGCGTGGCAGACCCCATAAAGTATATGTATTCTTGATCAGGGCGACGAACTGAGTCGATTTGGCACTGTCCGTCTGTCTGTCCGTCCGTCCGTATGTATGAACGCGTCGTTTTTCTCTAAATATCGGTAACTACTCACGATATTTTATTATCGATTAAAACCCTTATCGAAAGCTAATTATTTAATTATATCTCCTACACCTTTAAAGCTAGAGCTTCCAAAGTTTAAATGTAGACTTATATGTATTTTATACAATTTTGGTTTTTGTTAATGTTGAATAACAGTCCACAGTCTTAATAAAACTTCAAACTTTAAGTTACTGTATCCAAAATGTTGAATAACAGTCCACTATTAAGCCTAACAACTGTTAAAGTCAGCTGGTATCTTCGAAAAGCATGTGCCTTCAGCTTACAATTTGTGGTAGCCGATTTTCAAATAGTCGTTATTCAATGACCAGACATAATTTTTGAGAAATTTAAAAAGGATATGAATTATTAGGGTTTCTACTATGCGTTGGCTTAAATAACATTTGATGTTTGAATTCATTTTATTCATTTATTTTAAAATTAGCAAGTGTTGTCAAATGCTATTTCTTGTAAATAAAATTAAACTTTGCAAAGACATATAAAACAGCCATAAGGACGCATAAGTATAATTTCAATTGCATGTCATAGGACAATTAATTGTGATTTCAATGCCTTTGTCTCAATGTACACTTTTGCAAATCAATTTTTAGCAGGTGACTACGAGCTGACCTGTGTGATATTTGGCTCAGTGAAAAGGGCAACTTTTTTTTTTAAGGCGAAACTAAATAAGACTAATATTGATTCAACTTATTAATCATATTAAAAAAGCAAAAGCCGCTTTTTTGCCAAAATATAAATGCCAAATGGAAGAAATGCAGCAGGAACAAAAACTAGCTGACAACTATGAGTGACTGCCTATGACAGCAAATGTTTATCAAATAATTGTTCAGTCGTCGCAGATTATGGAAAATATTATTCATCCTGTAGGCATTTTTGGCAAAGAAGGGTCTAATTTGCACAACCAGGTCTATAAATAGGACAAATTTCGCTGGTTGTAATAGAGCAATGGATACATCTGATCAGATTATTTCTTCGGCAAATCTTTAGAAACGAGTTTGAAAGCATAAAGGTCGCTGTCTAATGAAGTTGTACGTCTTGTATTATGTAAAGTTGAAGGCACAATTAAATCAGTTGAAGAACCCGAAGTTTCTTTAGCGGATCAATATTTCTGGCTGATCTGGAACTCGAAACTGTAGAAAACTAATTTCGATGATTATGAAAGCTCGATTGTTTTCAATTAAAATTATTAATTTAAAGTATAAACAAGCAAAATTCTTTAAAAAAAAAAATTTTTTTTTAATAAAAAATTTTAAGTCATTTTTTTTTTTGGTGGGCGATGACACGCCCATTTTTCTAAAATATATTTCTAATGGTATATATATTAATAATACAAAAACCGCATCAAAAAATCTGGATCGTTAATTAATACCCGATAATTTGGATTTTTCCCCATAGTGCACTGCAGCCAATGCGTGTTTATGCGTGCGTGCGTATGTCTGTATGTGTGCGTGTGTGTGTGCATGTGCGAATAATTATTAAAATATCAGTTGCTCGAAGGGTTCAGGGGATCTCGTAGTCGAGCAGTCTCGACTAGAGCTTTCATACTTGTTATACCCTGAACCCATTTTCAATGGGAAATCAGGGTATAATGGTTTTGTTGAAATGTATGTAACAGGCAGAAGGAGGCGTGGCAGACCCCACAAAGTATATATATATTCTTGATCAGGGCGACGAGCTGAGTCGATTTGGCCCTGTCCGTCTGTCTGTCCGTCTGTCCGTCCGTCCGTCTGTCCGTCTGTCCGTATGTATGAACGCGTCGATTTCAGAAGATATAAGAGCTAGAGACTTCAAATTTTTTTAAAATGTTCGTAATTACAGCGCGCATATCAAGTTTATCATTAAAAATCGATAACTCATCCCGATCTTTTTTATCGATAAAAAACCTTATCGAAAACCAGTTATAAAATTATATCTTCTACACCTTTATTGCTAGAGTCTCCAAATTTTTAATGTATGCCTATATGCAATTTATACAATTTCGGTTTTTGTTAAAATTTACCCCCCGCCCTTAAATTCACCCCCTCACCCTCACTTTTGTAAAAAGCGTATTTCAAATACTAGAGACTTGTGCTTTGGCAATTACATGCATATCTATGTCATAATCATAATCTGAAAGTTTCATGAAGATCGTACGTCCACAAAAAAGTTATTAAGCAATTAAGTTCTCATAGTAAGCGCTCACTGCCGCCCATGCGTGTTTATGCTTGTGTGTGTATATGTATGTAATTGTTTGTGTATGTGTGTGTGTGTGTGTGTGTGTGTGTGTGTGTGTGTGTGTATGTATGTGTGTGTGTGTATGCCTGTGTGTGCGTGCGTGCGTGCGTGTGTGTGTGTGTGTGTGTGTGTGCGTGTTTCTTGCGTAAGCTGAAAGACGCGAAAAATTGAAGTAGCTATTACTCCAAGGGTTCAGGGGATCTCGTAGTCGAGTAGTCTCGACTAGAGCTTTCTTACTTGTTTTACTCTTGATTTTGCTTTTTTTATACCCTGAACCCAATGAAAATGGAAAATCAGGGTATAATGATTTTATGAAAAGTATGTAACAGGCAGGAGGAATCATCGCAGACCCCATAAAGTATATATATTCTTGATCAAGGCGATGAGCTGAATCCATATAGCCCAGTCCGTCCGTAGAACTGCAAGTGTGTCAATTTTTGCCACCTTACTCACACTCAATAAAAGCAAATCATAAACACACACTTATAAAAATTGTATGAGTGCTGCTCATGTAGGCAATATCTTGCTGTCACTCACAGCAATGTGTCGTTTTCTTTTTGCTTGTCACCCAAGTATTTTTCGTCAACGCTTGCCGGTCCCACTTACACTTACAGCGAACGTAGAAAAAAATCGAGAGTGTGAAAAGAGCAGAGCTTGCAAATGAGAGTTGAGCGTTTTTTCGTTTATTCTCTTTCTCGCATCATACCCAAAAAAAAATTGTGTAGACACGTCTCTCTCTGAGCGTCACTCTCTTTTTTCTTTAGCATCTGTTTCGCTCAGACGCAATGCGATCACTCATTCGTGTGACGCTCTCACATGAGTGTCGCGTAAAACTAACACGATTTTCCCTCACACAAAGCTTCTCAGCAAAAAACACTTTGACTAACAAACTCAGCAGAAAATGTTTTTGCCTTCGTGTGCATGTAAATACACGCATACATACATACAAAAAGAACGCAGCAATCGCGCGTGATTACCCATACAAACGCAACTTACCGTTACTTCTTTAACTCAAGCAAACGATCAGTGTTTGACTTGAGGAAACGAAAACAGAAACAACTATCTCCCTCAGAGCGCGAGAGAGCTAAGCCAGACGCGACAAAAACACTTTCTGTCTGAGTTTTTTTGACTGTGTCACTGAAAGACACTTTTTTGCAGACAACGAAAAAGTGTTAACAGTTTTTTGCAAGCTATGGAAAAGAGCAATGAGTAACAAACACAAGTAGACAAAACACATGTATGACACCCAAGTGTTTTACAGGCAGCATGGTGTGTGTGTCAAAGTAACGGTTGTTTTGATTTTGCACTAGCTCCTTTCTTAGCTTCCTAGTTTACTTCGTGTTTCATTTTGTTAATTAAATGAATGCACTGCAGCATTATAATGTTTATTTAATATATTAAATGAATGTAAAAAAGTTATTTTTGATTTCAATATTGTTTTTTGTTTTCTATTTGTTCCTATTGTGCACGCATTTCCATCAGCACGTACGTAAACAAGTACGTGAAAAACAACTCAACCGAAGCCGTGCATAAAAAAAACCTCAACATCGGCCACACACACACACATTGTATGCCTCAATTTTTGTGTATCTCTTTTCACCCAACTTTCTTGCGACGCTCAAGCGTCGGCATATGTTACACACACATATGCAAAAGAAATACCTACTCACTTTTGCAGCTTGCGGTGCACCTTGAGTACCGGTGGCTTGTTGCAGTTCTCTGGTCCGTACGTATGAACGCCTAGATCTTGGAGGGTTCAATGTATCTGCTAGTGGAGCCTTCTCGACTAGAGCCCTCTTACTTGCTTTGCTATGTCTTCTGTCATTTCTTTTTCTTAAATAAGGTGTCATTACGCCAGGTAAATCATTAAATTAAACAGGTTCAAGGAAACCAACTGCAAATTGGAAGTGTCTTAGTTGATTATCTTAATGAGGAGACATCCAGAGCCATGTAATAACGATCCATTTTCTAAGGGGAATTGCTAGTAAGATGTTTATAATAAATATTTCTTATTACAGATCCACTAACTGGAATAAATTCATTTTGACGAGCTAAGTCAATATAGCCCTGTCCGTCCGTCCGTGCAGAATGATTAGAATATCAGCTTAGAGGGTTTAGGGTATATCTTAGTTGAGCAGTCTCGAATAGAGCCTTCTAACTTGTTATACTGTGAACCCATTGAAAATGGTTTTGTTAGGCAGCAGGAGGAGGAGTATTAAAGTGTATTTAGGGTGACGACCTGAGGTAAATGTCGAACGCTTCGATTTCTGAAAATGTAAAAGTCAGTATATGCAGCACGCATTTGTTTTGCTAACGATTAAAAGCTTTATCGACAATTAGATATAACTTCTTTAGAGCTAGATTTGTGATTTCTGATCCTGATTATTACAGGGAGCTACAGGATGGAACTCTCAGAGATCACAACTTAATGGATGGCTCTAAGATCATTTTAATACCAAATGTGGAAACCGGTTTGCTGGTAAGTGGCAGCTTATAGCCCATTAATACATATGTATAACAAAATATTTATGTATGAAAATCTCTCTGTATGTATAGTATATAGTATATAGTATATAGTATATAGTATATAGTATATAGTATATAGTATATAGTATATAGTATATAGTATATAGTATATAGTATATAGTATATAGTATATAGTATATAGTATATAGTATATAGTATATAGTATATAGTATATAGTATATAGTATATAGTATATAGTATATAGTATATAGTATATAGTATATAGTATATAGTATATAGTATATAGTATATAGTATATAGTATATAGTATATAGTATATAGTATATAGTATATAGTATATAGTATCAAAGATTGAAGGCTACTTTGATTCTGGACTAAGCTACCATAAAATTGCTGAAAAGACATGAAAAAACAAACAACCAATAAAAATAAGGAAAACTATGGAAAAAACTATATAGGCCGCAATAATCAAGTGATTTCACTATCAGATAGAAGAGAATTAGTTCGGGAAGCTACGAATTGACTACCAAGATTAGGGGTAAAATCGGTGTTAAGACGAACTTATCAGCGGTCCAAAGAGTAATTAAGAAAGTTAATTACTAATAGAGACAGAATTAAAAATAAAAAAAGACACCAGTCGATATGCATTAATTTTGACCGGGCGAACATGACGTGGTCTACCCAATGGAAGCATGTTGTCTTTTCTGATGAGAAAAATTGAATTTGGAAGGAACTGATGGCTATAATTATTATATCCATGACCTACTCATAGAAGAACATTATTTGGAACAGTTGCCAAGCCGCTGCGGCGGGGGGTGGCAATATCTTACTACAGCACTTGCAAGCTTCAATTTTTGACATCGCGCATGAACGCATAGGATTATAACACCTTGCTTAAAACTGCTGTTCCGCATTTCTAAACCCTGTCTGAAAACCATGTTCCAGCATGATAATGCTCCAATTCAGACCGCCCGATCCGTAAAGTCCTGGATTCAGGGCCAAAAAATTGATCTCATGGAGTGGCCACCATACTCACTCGACCTTAATATCATTGAAAACGCCTGGAGATGGTTGGTCAGGAAAGTATATGAGTCCGGAAAGCAGTATAGTACAACGTTGCAGTCGGGCGTTACCGATTGCGGAAAACTCATTCATATCCCATCAGCAATTTAGCAGCTAAGTTTAGCTCTTATACTGTAGAAAATGTGGGTTTTCCCGATTTGTCACGCCCCTACTAGGCATAGACACCTAATTTTTGGTCAGTTTTTAGAACGAGCAAACGAAACCCCAAAATTTGAATGCTTACGCTCAAATTTGAAGCTTCTAGCTATTATACTTTAGGAGATATAAACTTTTGCGCTTTGCCACGCCCCCTGTGGGCGGACATATATCCGTCAAAGCTTTTTGGCCTTGGGTGGTTAGCCCGAGTATACATACCAAATTTTAGGTCTCTAGCATTATTAGTGTCCAAAATATAGTAGAATTTAAAAAATCACTATATCTTCAGGTCCGATTTGCCACGTCCCCAATGACCGTATATACAATGGAGGACAAAAGTATTTTGACAACACATTGTAAAAACTATAATCGCTTATTTCTGCGTGCTGATAGAGCTAACGGTACCCATTATATTTTTAGAGAGAGCAAAGATATTAGGCTTTAAGTGACCAAAATATTGCATTGATGACATGACTCATTATTTTTATACCCTGAATCCATTTTCGATGGGAAATCAGGGTATAATGGTTTTGTTGAAATGTATGTAACAGGCAGAAAGAGGCGTGGCAGACCCCACAAAGTATATATATTCTTGATCAGGGCGACGAGCTGAGTCGATTCGGCCCTGTCCGTCTGTCTGTCTGTCCGTCTGTCCATATGTTTGAACGCGTCCATTTCCGAAGATATAAGAGCTAGAGACTTGAATTTTTTTTTTAAATGACCGTATATACAGCGCGGACGTCGAGTTTGCTTTTAAAATTCGATAAATCATCTCGTTATGTTTTTATCGAGTAAAAACATTCAAGTTCAAATCAGATGCCACTACAGCTAATTGTGAATGATTTTTCTTTTTTTTAAATTTCTCAAATATTCAATACTAGTTGTCCCGGCGAACTTCGTACCGCCTAACAGTCTCTATATATATAAAACAAAGTAGAGTTTGTTACAAAACTTATAATTCGAGATCTGCTGCACCAATTTTCATGGTTTTTGATTTGTTGGATTTGTCTCTGCCCCGAATTGGAAACAGGCATTGTATTTTTGAGTGCTCGCTAGAAAAGTAGGGAACGCAATGGCTCTGGTGGCGGGACCACTAATGGCAATGTCACTTTACCACTAAGGCAGCACAAACCGGGCGTTTCACCAACAAACTTCAATGCGCCACAAAGCTGGCAAACAACGTCCATTGGACCAATGCAAGCTAAACGATTCAAGCTATAGTCAATGGTGCAATCATATCGAAACGCTTCTCGATTCAAATCAATCCTTGAACCATTTCTTATTGCCATTTCACGGTCTGCCTCTCTTTGAGAAGCACGAATTAAGGCCCTTCTTTGCTGGGTACTAACGCCTCCGCGTTCTCGTTTCTCGAGCGATTTCTCGCTCTTCGTCAGATAATTGACTCGCGATATTCCGTTGCCTAATTGCATTATGGGTCCGCCGGGAAAGATTAGATCTTCTAGGACGCGGTATTTTTATACCCTGAACCCATTTTCAATGGGAAATCAGGGTATAATGGTTTTGTTGAAATGTATGTAACAGGGAGAAGGAGGCGTGGCAGACCCCACAAAGTATATATATTCTTGATCAGGGTGACGAGCTGAGTTGATTTGGCCCTGTCCGTCTGTCTGTCCGTCTGTCCGTCTGTCCGTCTGTCCGTCTGTCCGTATGTATGAACGCGTCGATTTCAGAAGATATAAGAGCTAGAGACTTCAAATTTTTTTTTAAAATGTCCGTAATTACAGCGCGCATATCAAGTTTATCATTAAAAATCGATAACTCATCTCGATATTTTTTTATCGATAAAAACCCTTATCGAAACCCAGTTATAAAATTATATCTTCTACACCTTTATTGCTAGAGTCTCCAAATTTTTAATGTATGCTTATATGCAATTTATACAATTTCGGTTTTTGTTAAAATTTACCCCCCACCTCTAAATTCACCCCCTCACCCTCACTTTTGTAAAAAGCGTATTTCAAATACTAGAGACTTGTGCTTTGGCAATTACATGCATATTCATGTTATAATCATAATCTAAAAGTTTCATGAAGATCGTACGTCCATAAAAAAAGTTATTAAACAATTAAGTTCTCATAGTAAGCGCACACTGCAGCCCATGCGTGTTTATGCATGGTTGCTTGTGTGTGTATGTGTTTGTGTATGTGTGTGTGTGTATGTGTGTGTGTGTATGCGTTTGTGTATGTATGCGTGTGTGTGTGTATGTGTGTCTGTATGCGTGTGTGTGTATGTATGCCTGTGTTTGCGTACGTGCGTGTGTGTGTGTGTGTGTGTGTGCGTGTTTCTTGTGTAAGCTGAAAGTCGCGAAAAAGTATTGAAATATCTATTGCTCCAAGGGTTCAGGGGATCTCGTAGTCGAGCAGTCTCGACTAGAGCTTTCTTACTTGTTATTAATAGTAATACTGCCCTCGCACAAAACCATATAAAACAATCGAGAAATATAAATAGAAATAATTTACACAAATTTATGTTTGAGACAAACAAATACCTGAACATTCGAGATATTTAGCTTTTGTACGCACGCGCACAATTATTATTTATAAAGTTTAAAAGTCCAAAAATATAAATCGCCAAAAATACACTTTTTAATAATTAACTTTTTTTTTTTTTGAATTTCGTATTTTGAATTTTTTATTTATTTTTGATTAGTCAGGTTTTAATCTTTTGATTTTTTTGTTAATTTTTGCAGATTTTTGATTTGAAATATTTATAAAGTTTAAAAGTCCAAAAATATAAAAAGCCAAAAATACACTTTTTAATAATTAACTTTTTTTTTTTAATTTCGAATTTTGAATTTTTTATTTATTTTTTGAACAGTCAGGCTTTAATCTTTTGATTTTTTTGAATTTTTGCAGATTTTTGATTTGAAATATTTTTTTTTTTTGATTTGGAAATTTTTTTTTTTTTTTTTTTATTTTTTTTTTTTTTTTTTTTTTTTTTTTTTTTTTTTTTTTTTTTGTAATATTTTTTTTTTTTTTTTTTTTTTGTTGAATAGTCTTTTTTTTTTTTTGTTGAATAGTCAGGTTTGCTCGAGGCTGTGCCGTAGACTGACGGACTACATTTGTTTATTTACTTCTATACAGGACCGAAACTGTCACTGTTGTCAGGGCTACTGAGTATAAATGGAAATTTGAATCTTTAGGGAAAAAACTGCGTTTTTCAAGTATTCGTCAAATTTTTTCAGTATTTTAAAGATCTACTGATCCGCCTCGTGGCGGAGACAAATCCAACAAATCAAAAACCATGAAAATTGGTCCAGCAGATCTCGAGTTATAAGTGCTAAGACACTTTTACACAACTCTCTTTTATATATATAGATAATATGTAGATCATATGCTGAAAGTTTCATTTAATTCCGTTCAGTCAAAAATTAATAAAAAATAATCAAATATTTGGCCAATTAACAAACGCACGTGCAGCAGCTACAACAGCATCGTATGCGTGTGCACACATACATTCAAACTTCTTCTAGAAACATTCGTTGAATCACATCAGCTGTTAGTTTCGTTTAGTTTTGGTAGATGGCGCAGCAGCAGTGAATCTATTTGAGTTTTGCCAGCGCCACTAGCATGAGTGGGGTGGCCTAGTGTGTTAGCTGCATGACGCTCGATCGAGAAGTCGCGGTTCGAATTCCGATCGATGCAACTGATGTTAATTTTTTTTAATTGTTTCAAAATATTTTTATATTTTCATAAATGAGTTTTCTATTTAATTTATATTTTTAAATACACCGAAATTGAAATTTTAACTATA